TGTGTAAAAACAAACAAAACAAAGACACAACTGTTTGTGTACAAACAAACAAAACAAAAACACAACTGTTTGTGTAAAAACAAACAAAACAAAGACACAACTGTTTGTGTACAAACAAACAAAACAAAAACACAACTGTTTGTGTAAAAACAAACAAAACAAAGACACAACTGTTTGTGTACAAACAAACAAAACAAAAACACAACTGTTTGTGTACAAACAAACAAACTAAACAGAAACACAACTGTTTGTGTACAAACAAACAACAACAACACAACTGTTTGTGTACAAACAAACAAAAACACAGCAGTTTTTGTAGAAACAAACAAAACAAAAATACAACTGTTTGTGAACAAACAAACAAACAAAAATACAACTGTTTGTTTACAAACAAACAAAAACACCACTGTTTGTGTACAACCAAACAACTCAACTATTTGTGTACAAACAAACACAACTGTTTGTGTACAAACAACAACACAGCTGTTTGTGTACAAAAAGCACAACTGTTTGTGCATAAACAAAACAAAACACAGCTGTTTGTGTACAAACAACAACACAACTGTTTGTGTACAAACAAACAAAAACAAGAGTGTAACTTTACAAGTAAATGTTGTCATTTACAAGTTTCACTTCATGACTTCACAGTTGGGGTTCAGGTGACTGCGTTTCTGTCTGTTAGTAAAATATCTCATGAACCACTGAGCAGGTTTTTAATGAACCTCTCAGATGATGCACTTTTACAACTTTCACTTTTAGAGTCAATCCAATTAAAGATGGCTKCCACGGCTAATTAMCATTAGCAACGTTAGCAAAACATGTCAGGATGGATTTAAATGAAATTCTACATCTTCAGCTGATAAACCTTTAAAGTCATTAAAGAGCATTAAAGTGTTTGTCTTGATAAAAACATAAAAAATGGAAAGATTTCAGCAGGTCAGTTCCTGCAGGTCAACAGCTGAGGGGCCGAACGTCCAGAAATTAGTCATAAAGTAAATAAACCAAGTGTTACAAACATCTGTTACCTTTGAAATAGTTTATTTTGCTGCATTTAATCATGAATCCAACATACAGAACTTTATAAAAGTTGTGATAATTAAACTATATCAAAAACAAAAAAGCACATTTTCCCTCAGATTTAACCAAATATTTAACATCTCTGACTTGACTAATTTTTAAACCAATTTTATTTAAAATTTCATCGTTTTATCTTCAGCTGTTTGTAGTTTTAACTGTCTTCAGTGTTTATAGAAATGTTTTAACCAGCTTGTGGCCATGATTCTGATGTTTCTGTAGATACAAACATGTCTATGTTTAACTAAAACTCAGAGTAATTAAAGTAGAAAACCAGAGGTTTGGGCTGAAGAGATTAATGAAAAATTAGCGGGCCAAACTTGGGTCACTCAGGGCCAGATGTGGCCCATGGGCCACCTGTTGACTAGCCCTGGATTACAGCGAGGAAATAAAGAGAAGTAAAGGTGGAGCACAGACTGAAAAATGATGTTTCTGTCAGGATTAAAGATGGCCGCCTCAGCTAACTGAGCCAAACCCAAAAGGACGACTTTAAATCAGTCAGTTTGACACTGAGGGAAAGTCTGAGGTGGTAGTAGCTCAGACTCATCCTAATTTTTCAAAATAAAAGCATTTTAATTTAAAACTGAAGGTGGCCGGAGACGAGCATTCCTCCAAGGA